TGTGTGCCTCCAGTGAGCATGTGGGATCGAGGTTGACGGCAGCAGGAGTTGATAACCGGAACTCCACAACAAACGTTGAGGGTGACTATCGGTGTTAAAATGTCTGTGTCAGACACAAGGCAGGGTGAGAGGTGAGCGCTGCAGCATTTTATGGTTCAGCGGTGCCATTTTGGGAATACAAGAGGAAGAAGGAAAATGAAAAGAGGGATCTGTTGTTGTTTTTTGCAGCCATTAGACCCTTTCTTTTGAGTCTTACCTCTTGCTTCGCTCTATTTTCTTTCACCCTTTCTTCAGCCTGCTTGCTGTGTGACCTACCATTACACAATCTCAACAGCATGTGCAAATTTGTGATTCTGAATTTGTGCATTGTGTATTTTCAGCCTCAGATATCCTGCAAATACATTTGATAATTGCATAAGAATCAAATATTATTTCCAAATGATTTAAGTTTGCTGACATCAGTATGTATACAGAAGGCTTGGTTTAGATCAGTGGGTCCCTTCCTCATCAACCCCTCCGTCTTGTTCCGAATATGTTGAGCAGATAATAAACTGTATTTTATTCAACAGAATTAACTAAAAGTGTATAGTGTTCCAATATTTCATTTTCATACCACTGAGTAGTTACTACAGGTTGCTTTGCCCAGGTTTGTATTGGTGCTACTACCATATGCAGGCCGGACATTTCAACCACTGATCCTTTACTTTTAGCTAACATGAACTGTTTATCCTTGTCTTTCAGGTATTTAAAGTGTTCATCCACTACATTTAGCTACCTATTGCAATTGTTTATCCTTTACATTTAGCTTACTATCTCTGCTCACATGCTAAATAGCTTTTACACACACTCAATAGCAACAAGTGGTGTCAATAATTGACTCAGGTTGGTGGGCAGCTTACTCGGTATTGTAAATAAAGTAAAGATCAGCATCACACCAATATCTAATCCTATTCTGCTGTTTATTTCCCATCTTTTATTTGAACTGAACTTTCAACGTAACCATGGGCCGGCCCTTTGCTTCATGTCATCCCCTTTCTCTCCCTGCCTTTTCTGCCACTCTCTACCGTCTCTATGCAAATAAACCAAATGCCAAAAAAAGAAAAGAAGAAAAAGATCAACAGAAGATACCAATATAGAGAGCTGACTTGAGATTATATTTGTGACGCCTACATTTGTTGGATAGGGTTTTGGCAAGAGAGCTTGTGAAAAAACAGTGTGGGATTTTTGTCTGTGAGGAAGTAAGAACAAGAAAGAGGGGGATATTTGTTGACCATCAAAGTGATGGCATAAAAGGCATATCCCTGCCAGGCCAATATTTTCCTGTCATCCAAATAGCATCCAACTGTTATCCTCGCCTTGATATTTTTTATTTGAATTTCATCGCTTGGACGTGAGCGAAGACCCAAAGACGCACACAGCTGCACACAGAGTGACGTGGACGCGTACACGCACAGTGATGTGAGCACACACACACACACACACACACACACACACACACACACACACAAGATATACATATTTATGATATCTCTCTGTCACGCACACGAAAATGCACATGTGCACACAACAACCATCCTCTCATAAGCATGTACATGCAGCTAATCACTCCTGCAGACACGTGTGCACAAGTGCATGCAGCACCTCCACTAAAGTTCAAACTGGGATCAGTGAGGACAATCAATCAGTGATTTAGCATCTTGTGACTGCTCCCAGATTTCTTCTCTTTGCCCTCTAGTGTCTTAAATATTTAGACTGACATCAAATGCATACATGAATGTCAATGAGGCAGATTTCAGTTGCCTAATCGCACACATACATACACACACACACACACACATGCATGCACACGCACGCACGCACACACAAAGAAAAGACTGGGCATGAAAACGCAGCAGGATGCAGTCAGAAGCAACTCATCTCAAAAACCAAAGATGGGAACAGAGCCCTTTGTAGTTTGGTTGTTGTACAGTGAAGCTCCATTTTTTGATGGCTTGATTGAAGATAGGTAGAAGATTTCATGTGGACACAGCGCAGGCCAAGAGAGATCTTCTGATTGTTACTTCAGGAAAAATGGTCTCTGTAGTCTTTGACACACGGGGGGGGGGGGGGAAGCCAGTTTTGATACCCTTTGTATGGTGGTGTCTTATTCTCCTTGAAAGTGAAACCAGTAATAAGGCAGCCTGAACGCAGCCCTCTGAAGAGCCTGTCTATCAAGGGTCTCATCTGAGACGAGGCCACATAGTCAGTTCCTTTACACCTCGGAATGTAACATCTGTCTCTATTTATTGCCGGTAGCCATGTCTTGAGACTCTAAAACAAATACTGGCCTTCAGCTTTATATTGATCCTTCTGAGGTTTATTCCTTGCAGCATTTTGCTTATGCCAAGACTCACAAATGAGATCATTTCAAAATGGCACAAAATCCACATATTCTGACCTCATTCCTCCAAAGACTAGACTTCAAGACCTCGGACACATCTCTAACAAAACAGCCATGATAAATGAGCAAATACAAATTAGGCTAAACTGGGAAATAACAAATGTAAATGCTGGTACTCAGGAGGGCTGAGATCAGGCTTGGAGGAATCTGCCTCTGAATGATATTTAGGGAGGTGGCTGGAAGCCAGGCATTTTTGTGTTGTGTTTAAGTTTCTGGTGGAAAATCAATTTGCTGTTTGCCAAAGCATTTATGCACTGAGTACTTTCTATGTTTCCATGGAGCTCTTGTGGTTATTAAATGTGTCTTATTAGCAGGAAAATATTTTCATCTCTCAAATAATTTTGTAGAATATACTACATTCTACAAATTATTGCTACATTGATGCTTTTCAAGAGGCGTATGTGAATGGCTGTGGGATGAGCTGCTTTCTTTACCCCTTCTACTGGATTTGAATGCAGCTTTTGTACCAGAAATCACAGATTCTATCTCAAGAGTGTTTGTATAGTGCCTCTAACTGCTTGCATTCACATAGTGACATACCATGTAATCAAACCTGTAGAAAATAGCAGCTACAAAAGTAGAGATTTTATTGAGTCAAAAATGGAAAATACCACCTTGCCAGCCCTGTCGAAGTTCCCTAGGATTCTCTAGACATCTCCAGGAACTCCAGGCAGTTGGCTCTTTTATCTGGTCTGTGAGAGATGCAGAGTTTATATCAGGCAATGAGGAGTCACCCTTGTAAAACACTGAGTAGTGCACTTTGGGAAACGTGTCCCTTTAAAGAGACGTGCCCAGGATAGACATGCTACATGAAATTACACTCCTCCCTGCACTCTGTCTTGATAAAATTGTTTGTTTGAGCCTAGAGCATTTCATTGTTTGTGCTACTCAAAGCTAAGCACTGAGCTGGGTATACAAGTCCATAGCAAACACTGGGGCTTGTGCCATAGCAAAGCCAGCCTCCTGCTTTACTGCAATTATTTTTTCAAATTCCTGTCCAAAAGATTTGTGTGCAAATATCAGAGCGCCGGAAGACGTGCGACTTTAACGCGGAACACCATGTGTGGCATCCTTAACTTGTATTTGTGTCAGGATGTCTGAGAAATTTGTGTAGTGCGTCAAGATCAGTTTGCAATAATGTCATCTCTTCTAGTTTATGTAATTTAATTGTGCTTGGTGTTTTAAAAACCTTGTGAAATGGAGAAAGGATCCAATCTCTTTCCTTGACTTCCTGACAAACATAGTATCTCTAATAACCATAATAAGCAGCTCTAGTAGGTGTGAACAAAGTTTCCAACCTCTGAACACCGACATTCAGCACCCTGTGGGTTGAGATATACCAAATCAATTATTACTTATTAAACAAACATTACTCACTGCAGGTCAGAGGAAATCACCAGAGTGACACAAATGTTCAAAACAAGCCTTGAACAAGTCAGGCTATAAATTAATTTATATGATTCATTTTACCTACCTAAATGTTTGATGTTTATAGTTTTTGTTTATAGAAAACTATTATTGTTGGAAATCAAAAAGTTGACTGTGCTTTTTCTACAGCTTGTGATACAGGGAGTTGTAAAGCTTTTATACTTCCAGTTGTTTGTCCTCAGTCTTTTATTGTGTTGTGGCCACTAAGGGTTCAGAGTCAGGATCCTGCTGGCAATGAGGCCAGCTCTGTACTGAGTGTACAGGGAACCCATAAACAAGCACAGCATGCCTTTCTCTTACACTTTCAAATGATTATTTAGTCTGTTTCAAAACTTTCTTACACAACACTATCAGTGATGAGAAACATATCAAGTTCAGAAGTAAGACCATGTCAGTTTGTGAAGTAGACCAGGGCCCACTTTCCTAATAATGATGGATTTTAGACGTTAAAAGTGTTTCTACTGCTAAATGCTATTTTTAGTTTTAAATGTGGTTAAAACAAAGCAAAATGTATAGAAAACAGTTGGAACTTTCAGCTCGCTGTAAATGTTAGTAAATGTTAAAAGGTTCTGTTTGAGGCATTGTTACTCTGAAGCACAAATTAAACCTAAAACCAGGCATTGACAGGCCCTGTGAGTTTTATGTCAGCAAGCATGTTGCAAATGACTGTACAGCATAAATAACAATTAAAGAGAAGATACTGGATACCTAAAGAGATAAATATATTCGGTTACGGTGGCAAAGGAGTACAATGACAAGAGAAATTAAAAGTTCAGTAAATTTTTTGTGTGTATTTTTCAATTTACATCAAATGTCTCTTAACAGGCAGCATCAGTGGTCATAATAAAAGCATAGAATTAGAAATTGTCATGCAGGTTTTAGAGCTTCTTAAGAAGCCTTTGGCCTCCTATGTGGTAGGGGGCACTTGTTAATCTATGATCATTTCTAGGGGCATCTTAAGTTACAGTGCTTTTGGGAAACACTGTCATTTCAGACAACGACATCAAAGCTGTATATGTATTTGCTCAGTCTCCTGTGTCCTCCTGGTCAATCTCTTTACTTACAAAGGTGTACATTTGTGTGTAAAACAGATCACACTGAATTTCCTGTGTGCTCTCTTTCTGTTTTTCAGGACCGAGGCAACCCACCTAAACACATCCACATGTGAAGACAGCCAGTGTGACACAAATTGTGCTGCTTAAGACGTTGCTGGAAATTATGAGATAAATCAAAAAATGAATAAATACTTGAATATTTTCTTCATATGACTATAGTTAACGTTTATGGGTAATCTGCTATTTTGGGACTGAATCACAGTGAGATTAATCAAGGGAGGCAGAGGGAAAGGACACATCCCAGTCAGTGCTTTAGTTCATTAGTGAGCATCTGTATGCTGTGCACACACAAGTCAGACCCTAAATACAAAACGCAAACTGTATGCACTTTCCAAATGAATTGAGTGATGCGTAGTAATAACAAAATCTCATTGTGCTGTGGTGATAGTGAAATGGCGATTATTCAACAGTGCAGTCATTTTCGCCAGCGGACCTTCTCATACATAATGCATCCAAATCATTGCATTTTTTCTCCATTCTGGGCTACAATGCATATTTCATCAAGTCAGTGAAATATTAAGCACTCTTATGATTTGATATTCTCTTCCAAAGGGGACTTTAGTTTATATATTTTCTTCACATCACTCACACTTCCTCTGAGACCAAACTTCCGGGGATGTCTTTATTTGGCGTGTTTGTTTGCCGGAGAGACGTTTGATTGGTCAGTGCTAGAGTAATGATCAATAAGGCAACCAATCAATTCAAGAGATTATCGAGGCTAAGAGGCCATTGATCCTTAAGAGGGCCCAGCCACTGAACGGCAGGTTGGGCTTCTTCCAAAATTTGATTGAAATTAGAGAAGCTCAATCTGCGCGGCTTCTCTTCCTCCCTCTGCCCTCGAATTTCAAAATGTCAACTCTTATTCAGGTGAAGAGATTGATGAGGAATTGGAGGAGAAGGAGGGGAGATGGGGGGCATTTAGTCAAAAATATAGAAAAAAGATCTACTTCTTACCCCTTAGTCTTACATTGGAATGAAAATACTTGACAGTTAACTGTTCGGAAGTCTTACATAATTTTTCTGCGCTGTCACTAAGTTGCTATAGTGTATTTTTAATGGTGCTGCCTTGTCATAAAATAATCTTCAATTAATGAAAAATGATCACTTTTTACACAAATGTCAAAAGTTATTCGTTGCTAAATATGAAAAGGTTGCTGGGTATAAAAGTTTCAGAAGATGTGGTGGAAATCTGACATTAGCCTTAAACATTTTTGTCATTTAAAAAGAAATCACCCTCTGGCAGATGTGCAAGTGATGTGACTTCTAGCACCTTTAAGACATGCCGTTGAGATTTTAGGGAGACGCAACTCACACTGTCTACTTGCAAGTAATTGTCACCATAATTAATAGAAAAAAGTCCAATGTTGCTGATATCGCTCATTAAAAAGAATTTGTTTGACATTTAGGAAATTTTATTAGCTCTCTTGCCAAGATGTCTGTAAGCTAAATATGAAGCTTCAACTAAGAGATGGTTGAGCTGTTATAAAGACGTGGAGCCAGGAACAGCAGCTAGCTTGATGCTGTCCTAAGGTAAAAATTTGTTTTTTAAATCCACTAACCAGCATCTCTAAAGTTCACTTATTAAGAGCTGCCCACGCTCCTGGTAGTTTTATGCTAAGCTAACTGTCTCGTGACCATAGCTTCATATTTTATGGACAAATATGAGAGGGGTATCGATCTTATCATCTAACTCTGGACAAGAAAGTGAGCATAATCCTCAAAAAGAAAGCATTTAGCAAATGTAGGTCTTTACACCTGAGTGTCATTATCCAACAATTTAATTTAACCAAACAATGAGTAGGCTAAGTTACTCCCCCAAAATGCTTGTCAACTTAAAAGAAAATCTATTTTCCCCCTGCCTGTCATCGAACCTACACTTTTACACTGCTTTTTGCAACTAGGACACAACTGTAAGAAGAAAGCAAAAAGATGGAAACTGACAACTGATGGCACCCACTAGTACGAACAACTAAGACAAACATCTAAACACATTTTTTGCATTCATTCAGCCACTGTGCATAATGAGCCAAGGACCGCTTTTCTTTTAAACTCCTTTTAAACACGGGCATGAATGGGTTGAACATTCTTTTAAGCTTGTGAATATATCTATGCTCAGGTTCAAGGTAGTTTAAAAGTCCTGGCAAAGATGCTCACCAACCTGAAGGACCTGTCCCTGTCCACTCTACATTATCAGTTTGCTCAACACTGTTCCAATGAAAGCCAATGAGACCCCAGGAAACCAAATATTGTAGTGTAAAGTGGACCTTTTAACCTTTAATCTTTTTCTGCTGCCTTAAACATACTACATGGTTATGAAACAGTCTCAATTCAATACTGATGCCTCTATATGAACTACATAAACAAACAAGACCGTCAGTGGATTTGACCGGATTCCCCTTGAATACCATGGAACAAAAAAATTAAATGAGGCCGTGGAAACACTACTGCTTTTGTCCCCAGGGGCCGCCAGAATCAACACAAAATGAAAGCTCTTTGTAGCTGCTTTAATGTCAGGCAAATACATATGATAAAGTTTATAAAATGATGGTATCCAGTGCACGAGCATTGGAAGCTCTTTATCTTGGGTTTTTATCATGTACCATGTATCTTATGACATTAATTGACCAATCATCATTTGTGAAAAAGCACTGTTAAAGGTATCTAACATGTATCATAATCTTCCCAGTGCTGTCTGAAATATGGGTTTCTATTTTGAACTTTACTTTTAGCACCCTCATCAGGTGTTTTGAAGCTTTTGAAGTGCTAAGATGAAGCATCCTTCCATGTTTTATCAAAATCAGTTTTGAATTTATTTAGAAACTTTGCTCTTTAATTAGAGTGCCCCCCTCAGGGCAATTACTATAATGTGTTATAACACCAGAACACTGTGCTGATACAACTTCCCTCTAAGCATCATTAAATTTAGGCCTGTGATGTCTGTGATGTCACCTGAGATATAATGTCTGACGGTCGATTAACACAGCCGTTGACTTCATTCTGTGGTGGACAATGATCTATTGTGATATTCAATCTGGGCTTTTGCATATCTTTTGTCTCATATGCATCATTACCACCTGTCATGGAGAGGAGGTTATATAATCTGGTCAGGCCCTGCTATTAATATAACTTCCAAAGAGTGAAGCTAAGTTTATAAAGAAAAAGTGAACTGATATCTGAGTTACAATTGTCCATCGGTAACCGGCAGAACAAATGCCTGACACTTTCTGATTGACCTCATTGTGCCAATTAGGTGGTAGAACAATCTCCATAATAAAATCTGTATTTTTTTGAGTAAGTGCCTGTCAAATTGTCTTTTCGTCTTGGCAATATCCATTTCATTATAGTGACACTCGTATTTGAATACCAACAAGGCTGCTGTTGTCTCACAACGTGGGATGCCAGCATGGCAGGTGTTCAAATTGATAATATTGGCCCAGGTGCAGCTGATTTGGGTAACAACAAGAAATGGTGTGACTGAAGCAGTTTCACACACTCTTCTCAAGCCTGGACTGTTCCTTTCATATCATTAGGGATAAAAAAGGGTTTACAGGAGTGCTTGCAAATTTGACCTTTAATAGCACTTTTCTTTTTGGTAAAATAATCAAATGTAAAACTTCTGTTACAAGCCCACCAAACCTAACCTCAACAAACCACCTTCAGTGCAACCTTGTAGATAACCCTGAGGGACTTTCCTTAAGTCGGCTTCATAGGCTATCTTACTCCCAAGCTCCCAACATGGTCTACCACTTAAAATTTCAGAAAACCATCTCTAACCTTATGCCTAAACTGTAGCACCTATCCTATCACATATTACCTAAAGAAATTTAGAGCAAGTGTTGCCTAATATGACTTTTCAACACAAATTTTGTAAGGAAGTTTAGTTGCTGATGACTTCCAGTGATGGAAGAAATATTTAAATCCTTAATATTAATAAAAGTGCAGTAGTAGCAATAACTACTTAAAATATCAAAAGTAAAAGTAGTCATGATGCAAAATTGCCCTTGTCAATATATCATATTATTATTAAATCATTAATGCTATATATATTCATAAATATAATGCTTTCTATTATACTATGTATATATATATAGTGTTTTAAATATTGTTGGGCAGTTAAATATATTATATATAATAAATATATAATCATTATTTTATAAATGGATGATATGTTTAGTATGTAAAATCTTTATCTGAAAAGTAACTATAGCTGTCAGGAAAATATCAATCAAGCAATATCTTCCCCTCGAAATCTAATTAAGTAGAAGTACGAAAATGTTATCAAGTGAAGCATAGGTACCTAAAAAATGTATCTATCAACAACAACAACAAACAAATGTAAATATACTTTCTGATTTGTTATTTTTTAAATATCACTCCAGCTTACTGGTAAAGTAGGTTTTAACTTTGCAATCATTTTCCAAAAGTGCTGCAGAGTAAAACATATTCAGCTGCAATAATTTATAAAAGGCTGAAAGAGATCCTGGTGGAACTGATTAAACAAAATAGATGCTAAAACCACCTTTTCATATTTATGCTAGCCTGGAGGATAAACATCTTCTGCCGATGTCACAAAACCACACTGACAACAAAAACTGGACCTTTAAGACAGGACAGCGCAGATCTAAGCCGGTTCTTGCAGCTATGTAAAAAAAGCCAGATTACTTACAGATTACATCACTCACACTACACTACACTGCGAAGCAAATCAGAAATGACTAGATTTCATGGTGTGCAGTACGCTGACCCCGGCCCCTTTACTGATGCAGTTCAACATGATACCTCCTGCTGGTTTTAAAGTGTGTGTTATCAGGAGCTATGTATCACAAAATAAAATGTGCCTTCAAATGTAAGGTAAAGAAAAACCTTAACACACACATATAATACATGATCGCTATGTTTTTGTAGCATTATTAACAACAAATAGAGGTAGTGATTTCTGGTTGAATGGGTATAAGCCAGCAAACTGATGGCTTGCCAAGGGCAGTGTTAGCTGGCATTGAGCTAGAAATGCTGCATTTCCAACATCGTTAACATAATTTTAACCACTTTTCCGTCTGAAAGGGCTATAAGAATCTATAATGTTATCCATTGGTATGTCTGAAATGCCAAGTAATTTTTCCAGGCCAGTAGCTGGACTGTATATTTCGGCTGTTGCAATTTCTCACTGCTGCTGCTTTGGACCATTGCTTTTTTTAAAATTGCATTATTTGTAAATTGTATGTAATTTGTTAACAAGTTACAGTATCAACTTTAAGTTAGTTGCCTAATTAGCTGTGTTGTTTTACAGCATTACAAATGTGATAAATTGCTGCCTTTTTCGGTGTTAATGGCTTTTCTTAAGGTTGTAA